GGTATAGTGCCGGACCGGCCAATCTCTCACGAGATCATACTTGAGGCCGGCACCGTGCCACCGAAAGGATGCATTTATCGCATGTCCGAGGAGGAGCTCACGGTTGTCCGTGCGCAACTCAACGATCTACTCAACAAGGGTTGGATCCGCCCTAGCAGCTCACCTTACGGTGCGCCCGTTCTCTTCGTTCGGAAGAAGAACAAGGACCTTCGACTTTGCATTGACTACCGACGCCTCAACGCGCAAACCATCAGGAACGCGGGGCCTCTACCTCGCATTGACGATTTGCTTGAGCGGTTGGGCGACGCCAAGTACTTTTCGAAGTTGGACCTCAAGTCGGGCTACCATCAGATTTCCATCCGCCCGCAAGATCGGTACAAAACCGCGTTTAAGACACGATATGGGCATTTTGAGTGGGTAGTTATGCCTTTTGGCCTCACCAATGCCCCGGCCACCTTTCAGGCGACCATAAACACAGAGTTTCGCGCTATGTTGGACCGCTTGGTTTTGGTCTACTTAGACGACATCCTCGTCTATAACCGAACTCTAGAGGAGCATCTCAACCACCTTCGCCGTGTTCTAGAGACTCTTCGGTCAGCCCGGTACAAAGCTAACCGCGACAAATGCGAGTTTGTCCGGCAAGAGCTAGAATACTTGGGTCATTTTGTCTCTCCAGAAGGCATTCGTCCGTTGGTGGACAAGATTCAAGCCATCCCGGAGTGTCCCGAGACGAAGAATGTGACGGACGTCCGATCCTTCCTCGGCTTGGCCGGTTATTATCAGCGCTTCATCAAGGGTTACTCGAAGAGCGCGGCCAACCTAAGCAAGTTACAAAGCGAGGATCGGCCTTTTGACTTCGATGACAACGCGTGCCATTCTTTTGAGACACTCAAAGCGGCGCTCTTGTCCGCCGAGGAGTTACATATTTACGACCCGCTTCTAGCTACGCGCGTCACTACCTATGCGTCGGGCTATGGCATTGGGGCCGTCCTTGAGCAGCACGATGGCACGGACTGGCACCCGGTCGAGTACTTTAGCAAGAAAGTACCTTCCGTGCATTCGATCGACGATGCACGGAAGAAGGAGCTTCTTGCCTTCATCCACGCATTCAAGCGTTGGCGACATTTCCTCCTTGGTCGGAAAGCATTCCGATGGGTAACGGATAACAATCCGTTGGTATTCAACAAGTCGCAAGACACAATTAACAGTACCATTGCTCGTTGGATGGCTTTCATCGACCAGTTTGACTTTTTCCCCGTTCCCGGGAAGTCAAACCGTTTTGCGGACGCCCTCTCACGGCGACCGGATCTTTGCACCGCAGTCTACTCTACCTTCGAGATCGAGGACGACTTGCGGGAGAGTTTTATCCGCGGCTATCAAGCCGACCCCCACTTTCGCGACAAGTACGCGAATGGCTCCTCTCCGAATCCGGTGCCTTCGCATTATCGAATCCAAGAGGGCTACTTACTTGTGCATTCACGGGGTAAGGATCTTCTTTGTATGCCAAATGATTCACACTTGCGCACACGGCTTCTTGGCAAGTTTCACGATGTGCCTGCCTCCGGACATTTTGGTGTCAACCGTACACTTGGCCGACTTCCCCAGCGGTTCTATTGGCCCGACCTTCTCAAGGACGCCACCCGCTATTATGAGTTGTGCGAAGTCTGTCGGCGTTGCAAGTCACGCAACCATCGTCCATTCGGCGAGCTACACCCATTACCAGTACCCCTTGGGCCACGGGAAGCAATTGCTATGGATATCACCTGCCCCTTCCCGAAGCACAAGACCGGCGTTGATGGGATCCTCACGGTCGTCGACCGCCTCACCAAGTACGCCATAGTTTTGCCTTGTTCGGCTCGCCACGCTCAAACCGGGACACTCGTTGGATTCGCTCCAAGGGCTAGATTCTCCGGTTGGATTCGCTCCAAGGGCTACCCCAAGCAGATCATTTGGGACCGAGACACTCGCTTTCTCTCCGACTTTTGGGTCGCCCTCGTCAAGCGATAGGGCTCATCTTTGAGGCCGAGTTCGGCTCGCCACCCTCAAACCGATGGTCAAACGGAAATGGCGCATTAGACCGCTCAAGTCCTTCTCCGCACTCTCATCCGTCCCGACCAGGTTGATTAGGTTGAGCGCTTGCCAGACGTTGAGTTGGCTTACAACTCATCGATCCACCCGGCTATCAGGATGTCGCCGTTCGAGTTTGAGCATGGTTCACTCATCTCATCCCCGCTGGACGCTACTTTGCCGCGCACAGCCGAGAGCGACGACCATCTTGCGTTCCTTCGTCGCATGCAAGAGCTTCTTGTCAAGGNCATCTCATCCCCGCTGGACGCTACTTTGCCGCGCACAGCCGAGAGCGACGACCATCTTGCGTTCCTTCGTCGCATGCAAGAGCTTCTTGTCAAGGCACGGGATCAGATGTCGAAGACGCAAATACGGATGAGYCGTCAAGYSAACCGCAATCGCCTTCCTTGYYCATTCCGCGYCGGCGATCTGGTTTGGGTCTCCGCAGCRGAGTTCAGCCTTGAGCAAGACATCTCTCGCAAGCTCCTTCCCAAGTGGATGGKGCCTTGGCGCATTCTSTCTGCAGCTGSTGATGATCYCRAGGGGCCCTCATTCCGCATCGCGGTGCCACCTCACTTGCCCGTCCACACGGTGTTCCACTGTTCCAAACTCGCTCCTTTTGTTTCAGCGGAGTCCGACGAGTTTCCCGGTCGACGTACGCAAGACCCTCCTTCCATGGACGGATTTCAGGAGGCCGGCTACATCATCACCGACCGGCGCCATGGCAACAAAGAAACAGAGTTTCTACTTCACTTTTCCTGCTGCAGCCACAAGGTTGACCGTTGGCTGACGTGTTCGGAACTGCAGGCCACTGCCCCCGCCGTTCTCTAACGCTACCTTAGCAAAGGGAAGACTACGCAGAGCACTCCAGCTCCTCGTCCTCCTCGCTACATTCCACCATCGGATCAGCAGCTTCGCCCGCGCCCCGGCTCGTCTTCATAAGGAGGGGGGCGTGTTACATGTTGAAAGCCTACACACGGGCCCCTCACGGGACCCGAGGTTGGAATAGGGCCCCCAGGTCGCGTCACCGCAACCTGAAGGCCCTATGGCATTTTTACTTGGTCATGCATCACAAAAACGCCAGCTTTAGATTATTTTTATAGTCTTTATTTTATTTATTTGCTGCTGTTTTTCTAACGGGTGTACTGTTGTCCGTTTTGTGGCCAGGTACACGCTTATAGGGCCAGAGCCAGATTCAGGCCCAGAGGCTGAGCTCCTAAAAAACGTTTCGACCTTTTCTTTTGTTTTCGAACAGATTTTGACCTGTTCGAACCCAGGCCGACGTTGAGGCCGGGTACGTCCGCACAGGACCGGTTTGAAGCCAGGTACCAGGAAGATTAATCCTGGACATGACCTGGACGTCCGGTAGGGACTCAGGCACGCCACTTTAGGCCACGAACGGAACCAGTTTTCGAAGCCTGCGATCTGGACCGTGGATCGGAGTTTCGATCTGCACGGTCCAGAACGCAGGCCGTGGGTTTTCAGTCTTGGCCCAGCACTACTTAAGCTGGGCCATTGCCCAGTTCGGACGCAGAAGGTACCAGGAGAATCCAGCGTTATGCTGGTTCAGGAACTTGGCTGCTGCGCTATTTTGGAGACTCCCTGCTGCGCTATCTCGAGACTGCAGTTGCGCTGTCATCGG